AAAATATCAGAGATATGTTTTGATCAGACATACCTTGTCCACAAGTGACATGTCGTCAGATCCATAAATCTCAGGGAGCTCGACTGCTGCAGGAACGCGGTTGTCGTTAAACTCATACTCCTTGATATTAAATTTCCTCTCCACGATATTGCCAAGTATTATATTCGACGATACCGCAGGTATATTCTGTACCATGTCCTGCAATTTTCCTTTTGCATCCTGAATCTTGTTTTTCATGACCGGATTTATCATCTGTCCGCTGCCTTGTGAAGTGGATACCACATCTTGCTTCACCTCAGACTGCCTCAGACTTGAAAATCGCGATTTTGGAGCACCTGAAGCGTTGGTGGAATTCCTTAGATTTGTTATCTTCACGGACGGCGGTTGTTTTGTTGTCAGGAACTCTTCCTGCTGACGCAGAAGCTCCTCTTCATCGTCATTCGCTCTAGGCCTCTTCGACACAACTTCATTAGCCATCTCTCAAGTTGTTATAACCTCTCTGTTATTTTCAATAGTTTATAATCATATAATATTGCAACAGAGAACCTGCAAATTGAAAGTCAATAATTGTAGTTCGTAAGAAACATTATCGCGACATTTCTGCGACGTGACAATTTGTAAATATTATTGTCATCGTATGTCATTTCATGATTAACTGAATTTACTCACCAGATGCAACGTAACCAAACACGACGCATTCCCGCGGGCCCCGCGGCTTCGAGATCATCTGATTGATCGCCGCTTTTAATCTATATACTTTTAGCATCATGAAACGACCGCATTTTTTACCATCTATAGGAAAAGTATTACCGACGATTATTGAGAATCCTAGCTCGAGGAATATCCTTGGATAGAACATTCTTGATGTTTGCATGAATTGTTCTCAGAAATTCTTACAAATAAATTAAATGTATTCGTTTCTTTTCATTTTCTGTATTCATCTTTATATATTTTTGGTTCGGGTTCGGGGATAAGAATCCGAAATTAACTTCATTGATTTAGTTCATAACTTTATTTATCTAGGCATAATGCGCTGGAAAATAGCAGTGTCCCTCAATTTTCCTATAATACAGGAATTAGTTCCTATAATAATATAGGAACAGAATATACGATATGCGCTGATTATTATCGCAGTCATATGCGCCAGATACGCTGATTATTCAGAATTTCGGAAAGCGGATTAATTAGAATAAAATTTAAGCTGATATGATCGCGTGTTATAATTTTGGAATTGCACGGTGCTTTTACGCGTGACTAGTTTCGTACAGAAATATTAAATGTCCAATTTTCAAATAGTGCGTAACATCGCCACTAGAGGGACACAACGAAGTTCAATTACTCGTGTTTAAAAAACCACATCGAACAGAATAAAAAGCGCAGTATGATTGACAACTTTCAGCGAAAAATTTTTGTTCTTTTTTTTTTTATAAAAGAGTGGAATAGTCCTACTTGGAAAACCCCTTAAAAAAAAAGCCCGAACTGATAAGCCTTACGGCCTAAACACGGCATCACAAAAATAATAAACAGTAATAAATAAGTAAGAAATACGATATTAAAGATTATCTATAGTAGATAAAGTTATTCTACGTTATGAGAATTATAATAAATAAATATATTAATAATAGATTAATTCCTTTTTTGCTCAGTGAGTGGTCGTCGCCTCTGGATGCAACCATTGATGACATGCCTTGAAGATAGTTTCCATAATTGGCTTCAAGATGAAAATTAATAAAAATTTTACACGCCGTAACAGGATCGTATCTATGACCGGTAATCATAGTCCGTTCTTATTTCAAAACTGCCTCTGATTGATTCATCTTAAGACTGTACTTAAGACAATCTTAAATATAAGAATATGAATATTACTCTTAGCGACACACAAATCAACACAACTATGATTAGACTTATTCTTTTTCCATACCCTAGGATTGAACTTCTTACACGGTTTATTTTCCTTTTTTTCTTTTCACATTGGAGCGTGAATTCCTACCCGGGTGATCTCCGAGTGTCATGTCTTCCTTGTTTAACATTTGGTAAAAGACAAAGATGAAGTTATACCTGGGTGGCACTCGGGTGAGAATTTAAACATAGCCTTGAAAAGAAAATGAACCGTGTAAGCAGTTCAGTCCTGGGGTATGGAAAAAAAACAGGCCTATTCTATCTTTCTAACATTCAGGGGTGCGTTCTAAATCATAACTACAGTAACCAAAACTCTATAATTAACATCACACGAACTACAGAGTTTCGGTTACTGTAATTACGTTTTGGAACGCAGCTTAGTGATTAACAAAGATATAACGTCACTTGTGTCGATTTATATCATCAAATTGAAAACATCCTGTATCAAGATTATATAATTTTCCACGCAACAATATAAATGGAATATCACACATGTTATACATAACATTATATTGTTTAGCAAGAAATTATAACATTGTCGTAATGTTACTATTAGTTTGTGTTAAGCGAATTGTATTTAAAATAAATATAGCTTATTCTTTGCTTCTTTAAAATAACATATCTATACATACATAGATATACATGTATTTAGATTTTACAAGAATAAAATATAGGTAATTTATAAAATAACCTCACTCTCTCGAAGTTGTACGAATTGAAAAATATATTATTATATTTCTGATTTTGCAGGAATTAAATATACATAATTTGTAAAACAATAACTTTACGTCCGAATTAAAAGACTTCGCTAAGATAAATATAGCCTTTTGGTTTTCTCTGTCTCTTTAGAATAACACAACGTGTGTGTATGCAGATATATTATTTTTTAGATTTTGCATGAATTAGATACATAGTTCATAAAACAATAAAATAACGATTTTACATCGTTACTCGAAGTTGTGTGAACCGAGAGACAATTTCACTAAAGTAAACATAGCCCCTTAATCTTCCCTGCCTCTTTAAAGTAATACAACGTATGTATGTAGTTATATATTATTATTATTATATTTCAGATTTGCATGAATTAAATATACATAATTTATAAAACAATTCTTTTTTATATGTCGATGATTCAAATAGTACGAACGGAGAGATGATTTCGCGCAAACCCTTTATTTTCGGGAAAGTATCTCCAAGTAAGATCAAAAAACAAATGCAGGGGACAGGCTTTCGATGTCCCCTTCGGAAACGCTAAATAAATCATCCGCTCGAACGTTCCTTTCGCTTGGAAAAATACAATTTCGCCTATATACATATATCGGATTTATTATGATTGTATGTTCTCGTTTTTCTCTTACAAGTATATACATTTTATTGCACACTCATGCATTCGCGCAAAGCTGCAATTTCTTCGGCATTCGCAACGAAGACCGATAAAGTGGAGAAAAAGTCAAAAAGTCCATGTGTGTATCTACGATATACAATAATTTCGTATTATTGTATTTCTAGATGAAATATAATTCCTAAATTATAGAACGTAGGTACGGAACGACGAAATATTGCTTCCATAAAATTGCGCGACAATTCCAGCAATAAAATATCGCTTTCTTTACCTTTACAAAATATCATATCTCTCTGAAGGTTTCGAATATCATCTTCAGATATAATTAAACGTAATCTTTAAATCCGAATCCTCTGCCTATATCAGACTAGAGATCGAGATTGAAATTGAGATTGAATATGATCAATGAAAGCAAAATTCACTAAATTTGATATTAGTTTTCTTTCTTCTGATTGATTAAATTTAATCACAATTTTTAATCTGATACAGGCATTTCACGAGGATATAATGCAATTCTTTTTTTTTTATTCCAATGGATAAATTTAGATTCGCTTGGAATAGTCCACGGAATGCATTTTTTCTCGAATAAAACAGCTGACGAAATAGCACTTATTTACAATCACGTGTATTTACACTAATTACAAGCATCGTAACGCATATAGTGATTCGCTTCGGGGGAAAAAAAGGAAAATGATATCTGTGTGACGACTTCCGATAGAGCTCGATGTGCAGTCTCGTACTTGTTGCATGAAGACGCTCAATCAAGAAGGACAAGCTCAGCAATTGTAACGTTAGTGTTGCGTTACAGTTTTGGCGCAGCGTGACATTTCGTCGAATTGGATTTTAGAGAAGATGGTGGAAAGAAAGAGAGAGAGAAGAGAAAAACGGAGAACGTTTCTTACTCCGCACGCGAGATTCGTCCTCTCTCTCTCTCATCGCGACACTTTTCTGCTAGGGGAATAGATATAAAAAGTCTCTGGCTACAATTATGTATAAATCGATCACTCTACGGCTTGCGTATCAATTGTATAATTGAGTTAGCTTCTTTTTTAGCTTGTCTCCGTAGCCATTCACACTTCTTAAAAATGTACACGCACATTTTTTACGCATATACACGCGTACATGAGGAGACAGAAAGAGATTATATATATATATATATAATATATATATAAGGCACAGAATACACATTATTATATTAGATATACGTATTACAATTATATTATTTCGAAATGTGGAAAAGTGCTTTGAAACATTTATGTGAATTTCCCTTTCTTTCTAAAACAACTGGAGATAAGAAATTGAATTGTGTGTGTGTGTGAATAAACATGAATTTTAGTGCAATTCGAAATGGGATCATATAATTGTAATAAATATATATACATACATACATATACGAGCGATGAATATATACACACGCGCGGTTGCACAGCCCCGATAAATTAAGAAAGAAGGCGAGGAGATAAAAGGAACTTATATGGTGTAAGTCGAGCTCCATACTTTACAGAAAACGTTATCGGCGACGTATAAACTGAACGCGTTACATTTACATAGTATGTATATACTATGTATACACATTGTATTCATGTATATATTAATTTCCTGAGAATATTAATTAACTCTTCGGTATAGCCTCTGGCTTTAAATAAAAGTGATATAAACAAAAGGACATTATGTACATATTTTTCAAGTAATTTGATTTACATATAAATTTGATTAATATTTTCACACATATAAATTATACCGTGATTAATATTCCCTGGAAAAGTTAATTAACATCCTCGACGAGGATCATACATTTATAATGTATGCGAGAAATCATTTAACATCGGTTTCAAGGATGTCTTTTATAACGGACGAAGCACGATTACAGGAATATTAATTACTTTGTGCCCTAATATTATCACAAAAAAATGAGTCAGCGTCTTGCTCCGATTAGAATCGCCCTAGCTAATCAATCTCAACGTATTACATACTGACTCAACTATTCTCGTTCAAGTCTTAATAGTTACGAAAGATCATATATACATTCGCTAGTCATATTACTCGCGGGGGTGACGATAGAAAAGTATATGGTTTACATTATATGTTTACGTTCCGTATATATAATAACGTTTTTTTTGCTACAAGAAATTTTGTTGTATTATATTTTATGTCAGCATAATCATCGTGGATGTAATCATCGACTAAAGATTTGAAAAGAAAAGTAAATGAATGAGTCCGATATTTTACGTGGCAGCATTATTAATCTTTTTAACGATATTGAAAGGAGTACCTTTAATGATTCAATTGCGTAAATTTGATGCGGTGTATTCCTGAAAAATTCTCAGAAAAGCTTTCAAAGTGTTGTGAAGATTATCTTCCTCAAAGCTATACTATTCGTTCTTAAGTGACGATTTATGTTATGCGATAGAATTTTTCTTGTAGAACATATTGTTTTTGAATATAGTCACATTTTTTTTACATTAAACAGGCGTCTGTGTGCAAGTATAGAGTAATACTGTAGAGAGAATAGTAAAATGTATCACTTAGAATACTTAAAATTTGAAAATACTACATTTGCGCGATTGCCAAAGTTCAGTGATCGTATTGTTTTGATGTATAAGAATGAATTACATTTACATAGATAAGATTTTCCTTATTTTTTCTTCTTCAGAATATATACGATGTTGCTTCTTATCGCAAATGCGAATAGCCGCATCGACTGAAGTAATAGTTTGCAATCCGACCCAGTCACGTTTCGCTGTTCTGTTTCCTTCGTTCGTGAAAACACTATTATCCGTCACGATCGAAACGAGATACTTGAGTGGAGTCCGAAAGTATGACGTTATGCAAAGACAAATAATTGATGACTCATCGATCGGTCTGTTCTTGCTGGGAGGTCCTAGAAAATTTATATCAAATATCCCTCAGTCTTGGACAGTGATTTCTTTCCTTTATTCATGAATAATTCTACGTTTGCTAAGTTCTTGTTTCAATGTCTATAGCCAGAAGGGCACCGTATTTGCCGGTGAACAGTTCGGATTGCGAACTTTTAATGCGTTTGGCTTATCTAGACGTAATTGTATTTAATTCAGCCTAGTCCACAATCAATGTAAATTGAACCACCATATTAGAAGTTCTAAATAACGTGGGTTAAATTTTTACATGAAGAAGAGAAATGAAAGGAAAAAGAGCATACCTTTTGTTTAAAATATGAATACTTTATCTAAGATTATTTAAGAAGATATTTTTATGTATTATAAAAACAAAGATAAATTTAACAGCAACAGAGAAAGCTTTTATTTAATAGATTGTACCAAAAAGTTATGATAAAAAGTTTTTAATAATAAGGTAGTAGTATATTTAATTTAAGAATACTTAAAAAAAAATCACTAAACAATCTTTGAGAAAAAAAGAAGATCGACAGATTAATTTTTGCTGAAAAGGTTATTTAACATAGAATTTTATTAAATCCTTCATGTAGATTGCTGTTATTCAAAGAATAATATTTCACAAATATGCAAATAAATAGCTGACTTCGATCATAAAGACGGTCACAATCCACGAGAAAGTCGCGTTGAACCATTTGTTCGTAACTCTTTTACTAAAAGTGCAATAGACATACTGATATATACGAGGCACCGTTTTATTATGTACAGTCATATTTACTAGGAGGAGGATTTGTCCAAGTAAAAAATACGTGGTACGACTTCTTTACGTACTAAATATCCTTTTACGAAAGCTAGAGAATTACCACCGAGAGAATATTTGAGCGTCGCAACGTACATTACTTCTTTCGTGCAAATCTTTCTCTTTTCACGTTACCTCGACGTTTCCGTAAGACACTAGTACCGACGCTGTTAACGATAAAAGTGATGACAACAATGATCGATGATCGCGATAGTGAAGTGACGCGAAGTTGCACGCGAGCATGACGCGTTCGTGAAATAATGCTGTTACTCTAAACTCACCGAGTACTTATGCGATAATTCGTATGTTCGTTCGGCACCGTTGAGTTGGCGTAATTAGAGGGGAGGGAAATGTTCTTTATGAATCGCAGCGAATTTTTTTCAGGTCCCATTCACGAGCGGGTTTCAGGGAGCGCACATGAACACGGTCTTGGGGGCCTAGAGCGAATCGCAACACCAGCTCGTTGCGTGTCCGAGTGGTCTGTTTCTGCATAATGAAAGTCGACGACGACGATGCAGACGACAGGGAGGATCGCAGATGATTCCATTGTACTGACGGGCACCTATACAGCATGCGCTGTCGTGCCCGCGACTCCACGGGCTACACAGCGCAACCTTTCCTCGTGCCATACAGCACCTTCAGCTCCGGCATGATAATCTTCTTGATAAGCGCGTTCGTCTTGGCGGTAAGCATATCGCGATGTGGATCTTTCTTGAAGATCTTGATACCAGGCCGGTGCACTAAGAAGGCGTTGTCCAGAATAAGAAAGTCATAATCGAGAACACAGAGCGCGTAACCCTGTAAATATTCGCAAGATAACCTGATAGCTTTTGAAATTGTTTATATAACAGATAATGTAAAAGATGGTATCAAGAATCTTATTTTTAATTTCTTAGGCCGTTTATAGTCCGTTCTTATTTTAAGACTGTTTTAATTTATGTCTTAAGATGTTAGTACAAGATTTTATTACTGGTTTACGACGTAATCTTATAATCGTACTTAATGGTCTTAAATAAGAATGAACTGATTACTTGTCTCAAACACATATTTCTTATTTATATTCTAATTATGTTGTATATTAATTTTTCGTAATTATAAATATTAATTACACACATTTTAAAAAGAAATATTAACACTTTATAATTATTATTCTGAATTATACATTATACGTATAATTTATTATATCTTCTTAAATAATACACTGATGTTTTAAGATAGTGACGTTTTTTATTTATTACGTCATATTTTTATTCTGAATATTTTGCGTAAATAGGTGAGTTTACCTGCGTCATTTTATCACTCTTTCCCTCCCAACTAAGTCTTTCGTCGTAAAAAGGATCGTTATTGGTCCCGATGAAGATCGGCTCCCAGTGTACGAAACTGCCAGTCCTCTTGCCAACGTGAAACACGTGCAGATTCTCTGTCTCTGGCGCTTCCTGCCATTCCTTGCTCTTCGGCACATTATGGCAGCCGGAGCATAATTTCTTATGAAAGGGTATGGCGGTGCCTGCTTTCAGCATCTGTATCTGTAAATTTACATGACTCTTCGAAACGGAGCTTTGTGAAGTATTCAAAACGCGCATAAACAGATCTGTTTCCGTCCCCGAAAATATTCGCCTGGATCACGTGTTTCGTGAGACTAAAAATCAATTAATAAATGTATCAGATCTGTACATTTCGACCTCCAACTCATCATTCACCTTCACATATTTGAAAAAAAAAAATGAAAAGAATAAAAGAAATGTTACGCAGACAAATCGTATACGCGTGCGTCGAGATTACAATCGCTCTCTGTTATGCTGCGCTAGTTCTGAATTCTGACGCGACAAAAGGTATATTGTGCCGTGCCGTGCCGTGTGGTACGCACGGCAACCGGACAATAGCAACGCTAATTCTACATATCAAGGTCCACGGTCAAAGGAAGCTCCATTGATTCGCCGTCGACCCTCGCGTCCGCGCTATTAACAACACGACAGACGGACATACCGTCGACCTCGTCGCGCTCTCTTTCGCGCGTGCTTAATTGCCCCCAACGGACCCCGATCATATGCGGATCGGCGAATGATTCGCGAGTGGCGAACGTACCAGACGCGTCTTATTGTTAGGCGGCTGGTTCTTCTCGTCCACTTCGAAGATGGACAGCACAAAGACCTTGGGATTGGGCTTGTGGAGAGCTGGCTGATCTCGTTTGCGGATCATCTCGAGGAACTTGTCGGGCAGGTTCGGGCTGGGGTATAGCTCGATGTCGCTGGGGAACACGTAGAAGGTGGGTGCGGACTCGCGCGCTATGTTGCGGCCCACGTTCACCGGGTACAGCAGCTTTTTCTCATTCTTGTACATCTTCGCGAGGCTGACGTTCACCCATGGTGGTCCAAGCGAGCAGTTGTACGTGTCGGAGGCGATCTTCTCCGATGACGGTATCTAAGATGGGATCATAAATAAACATTTAAAAAGAAAATATCAGAAATCTTTCAATATGAGCTTGACAAAACTACGAATATAATTACAAAAAAGCTTTTCCGATCTTTCATATTTCTTCGCGTTTATACACAATATACAGAGATGTTGCTGACACATAAGGCGCAATTTTGTGCAAAAGAGATTCTGCTATCCCTAATTTTTATTTACCACAATTTGTGATATGTTTTTAAATAATTCTTTTAAATCTTTATTATCTTTAGACAAGGCGCAATTTGATCATATTACTTTTTTTCTAGAACAGAAATGTAAAAAAGTGAGAAAATTTCTACCATTGAAATTAATAGAGAAAGTTTTCATTCTTTTATATTTCCACTAGAGAAATAATCGATATTCTGGTGCTCGTACAAGATCGTTTTGTACGTATATATGTGGTCCTGTATGTTTTAACAAATTTTAGTAGCATCGACAAACAAACAATTATCTGTTCCGATTGATGGTTTTAGATTTTGTGACTAGACTTTGGTTTCTCAAAATTAATATACGGTACATATTTCGGAAGAAATTAAATTTGACAGAAGCGTGCACACACAATTGGTGTTAGGAATGGAGAGTTGATTTTTAATCCTTTTGCAGAGTCTTTTCTGATACAAGTAAAAATTTCACTTAAATTTCTCCGAAATAAAGGAGGATAGAATCCGGTTTTTCGCTTCTTAAAATATCTTATTAATAGAAATTTTAGAGAAAAGATATTGAAAAATAACCCTAAAATTTTCCACATTTTTTGAAAGTCTAGAACAATAAAAAAATTGGACTGGACAAAAAATTCAGATTGCAGACGGAAAGAACAAGAATATAATTGTAGATGGAGAATTAAAATTTAATTTGATGCCCCCATTGTTATTATGCCTTTGTGCAGTATACAACTTGCTTGCAGCGCCCTGATAATATATGTACATATATACAAAATATATACACGTAGCGTATATATTCAATAGCAATTGACATGAAGTCTTTGATTATAATAAAAACTATAATGACGACCTTTGATTACAGGTTTCTATGTGTAATTAAAAAATTAAGCCACATAAGCCAAATTTAAAATATATATACACAATAATAAGTTCATGTTATATTACAAATGTTATTCATATAAGACCGTTACATGAATAAATCATACAATTAAGAAAAAAGGCTTCTACAGCCGCACGTTATTAGGTACTAAGATCTAGTCACGATAGTATAGGACTTTTTTCTTAATTGTTTAATTTAAATTTAAAATATATTGTATATTTTTTTATGTAGCTTAATGTTGTCGATTGCCATTGGATTATGGAATGCGGATAGAAAGAATGTCGAATCCAAATATACATATAATTCAAGGAAAGGAATTTAATGCTGATGAACGACGTGATATTCATGTATGCAGGACATGCGGTTTCCGATTGTAATCGCGATTACGTTAAAGAATCGTTTGTGAAACGCGAGCCACGCGAGCTTCGTTCTTCGCAAACGAAACTGCGGGGTTGTTTTACGATATCCAGATATGCGTATCCGCTAGATCCGAGATACTCGTTACAATACAAATAGACAGCAATAACAGCAACGAACAATTGCAGTTCGTGGTACGAGCTAAATACCCTTCGCAAACGAATTGCATATGCATAAGATGGATTCAAGCACGCACTAAATTGGAGGAAAACAAATTATCGTGAGAGAACGTAACGTTTAATATCGAATTTATAATTAATTTAACGTATTGCTCGTTAGCGGCATTAACGAGCGTATAATTCATCGATTTTTACATGAAATAATTAACACTTGCAGAGAAAGCAATACGGAAAAAAAGAATCCTGGTTTTCCGATAAAAAAAAAGATTGCCACAAAAAATGTAAAAAAAAATTTTTCAATTCAATGTAAATAAATATTTTTGCAATTTCACGAAACTATATATGTAATTAATTAAAATAAATAATAGCAATTATAAAATTAATAATTGTTTCGTGCGTAACAAATTAATCGCAGGCTTTCGAGTCTTCTGATTGTGAGATTTTAATGCCCGTTTCCATCAATGTAGATTAACTTTCATCTTGGTTCAATTTACTTTTTATCTTTTTCTATAATTCTAAGAAAAAGATAAACAGTTAAATCGAGATTAAAATGAATCTTACATTGGCGAAACCGGACCTTACCGTTCATCTTTTTATAGTTCTAAGAATAAAAAAAAGATAAAGTTGAACCGAGATTAAAGTTAATCTACATCGGTAGAAACGGGCACAAATTGGAATAATAAAGTCAACGTGTTATATTACCATACTCGATACTTGCAAGACGTGATTAGATTCACTATGCTGGATACAAGAAGGATTTAGTAAACACGCGGGGCATTCAGTAACAGGCTGAAGCGATTAACAGGAATGAATGTTCATTCGTTATATCAAGTTAGGACATTCGCAAGATGTTCGCATTCGCGATGTATCTGTAACTCGAGAGGAATTCAGGAACAAGTTGATGAGACTTGAGGGATATTCCTGGATCATCGGGCCGTCTATTTACCACTTTTGGCACGTGTTTACTGCTGAAGAAGACGTGAAAGGTCACCAGTTGCGAGATCAGGGGGCTGCCACAGTTCCTCGAGTACCTGATGGCGTCGAGGGTCGCCGGGAAGTCGGTGCCGGGTGCGTGCATGGCGATCGATATCGGCGCTCGCCAGCGCTCCAGCAGCGGCTCCAGATTGTCGAGGAACGTGTAGTCAGCGTGCGTGGTGTATGTCACGCTCTCCCAACATTTCACCGCCATGCTCATCGGCACGTAATTGTACAACACCCAGTAATCGCCGCGCTGTGCCCGTCTAGGCTCTGTCGATTTCTCATTGCAGGCCACGGCCTCCCTCAGGCTCATTGGTTCGCGCGCGACGTTCGTCGTGCTGTTCCTCACCTAGACGAGCATGAGAAAAAGAGAGAGTCGCTTTAATCACCGTTTGAGAGGGAAATTTACATTTGCATGAAAAGCAACGGAAATACCAAGAATAGCGCAACGGCGATCGCCTACCAACCTGAATTCTTCTATGACATCCCGACACGTTCAAACCGATATCACTTTCTACGAGCTTAGATACGGAAATGTACCTTATTAATATTGGAACTCATTAACCGCCGATGATATTCCGATAGAATTGCCGAAGGTGTCAATTTGGTAATTTCATATCTTTATTTTCGGTAAAAAGTTACTTTAATTTAATTTGTATATTATTAGAATTATTAGAATTTTATGATGTTCACATATTTTCAATATTTTGTATATTTAACACAAAAAATAAACAATAATAAGAATAACAGTTATGTCGAAGGATTCCTTGATATTTAACAATATAAAGACTAAAATATAAGAGGAAGTAGGAGTCAGCGCGATAATCGTTGCGCAAGTATAATAATGGAAATGTTTACATGTCCATTTTTAATGTAAAGTATAAAAGTATAAAAAGTTGGTATAAAATCCGTACGCGTTTCAACTTATTTCAAGTCATTCTCAACGGTATCAATATAATTCTAATTTAATACGAGTAGTGCATCAACCATCCAATATCACAATGAGGTTCCTTAGCTTCATCCTAGTTTACAAAAAATAAACAAATTGAAATGATTACCGGAGCCAAAATGGCACTGTCGGCGGTTTTAATGTTAATATTCCAATTAATGTGGATGAGACTAATGCGTATATATGTATTTCAATCCCTATCATTACTAATTCAAATTAATTACGATATATAATATAGTCTCCTAATTCCTGTTAATTCTCGATTATATCTTCATTTCACTGTCATAAGCTACATCTAGCAACTGAACCGTATTTAGCAATTAATCTAAACATCAAAAAGCCTCTTTTCAAAGATGAAAAGAGGGATCAGGGAAAACAAAAGATAAAAGGAAGAAGCGGTGGAAGACGGAAAGAGTGAATACCGTCTGATTACGCGAGTGTTCCTGCGGCTTATCAAGAGCCTCGGCCTTGGCCCCGTTGGGAGGCGTCGTAGTGACGAGGCTGATCCCGAGAGAACGGCCGGCGCCACCGTTGTTTGTCGGCGCCGCATTATTTGTGGCACCGACGAGAGCGGCCGACGACGACGAGGAGGATGATGCGCCAGCTGCGGCGCCTTTCTGGGTGCCATTTACGAGGTCGTTTAGGCCACTTCCGTAGGTATCCGACTGAAGCGGCGCCGCCGCCGCCCAGTTGGTCGGGGGTTCCTCGATCCACGGTCCTGACGAGCCGATGTGGGCGCACACATACAGTAGCACGCACACGTTCAGCACCACCGAGAGGCGCAGCGCCCAGTTTCTGCGAGCGATGGCTACGATGCTCATCCTCCAGGTCCGATCGAGGTGATGAGGAGACGCGAAGAGAGCCGGGAAGGAGGATCCTCCAAGAGAGAATCCTACCTGGCGACGATATCAATTTCCTCCACTGTCGTTATCAATGCTTGGGTCTACGATTCTCTTGCTGGCATCGACCTGCCGCGTCCATCTCTTCACGGTCCACGACTGATTGGCGATCAGGACCTGCTCATGGTTCCTCGGAGGCTGTCGACCGAGGCTCAGTTGCGTGCAGCATCTGAAACGTGAGTGGAAGGGGACCTTTGATTATGACGGAGGTCGCTACAAATTACTTCGTGAGTTATTCCGTAATTTTAGCATACACACGCGAGTGCATGTATTGTTAGGCGCTCGTTAAGTGATTTCAATAGTCCTTCCCCAGGAAACAAGATTAATGTTTGTTTCTATCAATGTAGATTAATTTTAATCTTGGTTTAACTTACTTTTTATCTCTTTCTAATGCCCGTGTTTTTACTAGTCTAGTTTAATTTTAATCTTGGTTCAACTAATTCTTTTCATCTTTTTCTAGTTCTAAGCATTATAAGCTATATTGATGTATTATAAGTTGGATCAAGAATTAAAGTTAATTTACATTGGTCTAAAAATTAGGAAAAGATAAAGATAAAGATTATATTAAACCGAGATTAAAGTCAATCCATGTTGGTAAATGAATATGAGAAGTATACATCTGCATTATTGACATCTGTTTTGTAACTGTAAATTTGACTGAGCCTTTGAAAACAAAAATTAAGTCAATGAAATCTATTGATCTCGATTATTTATCTTAATTCTCTCTGAAGAGCCAATCGAGCATTTAAAAGCAAAAAACCAATTTATAAATGGCCCTGAACATTGAAACAATAAAAAATAGATTAAAGGACAACTGGGTAATGGTGCGGTAATTAGTGCGCAAAAAATTTCTAGTAAAGAATATATTTACTTCATAATTGTAGCCATCAGAACGAATCGTTGACATCGATTTTTCCGATGACTACAACTATAAAGTAAATATATTCTTTATTGGTAAATTTTTTGCGCAATAATTACCGCGCCATTACCTTTAATTACTCTTTAATCTGTTTTTTACTATTTAAAATCAAGTTCCTTATTCCGACTTATATAAGACAACTTCGTTTACATTAGAGTAATTGATAAATAGTGCATTTTTATAGTCATTCTTAAAGATAATCAATATTTACAGTAGTTCATATGAGTACACTCTGTTCAAAATAACAATATTATAAATATTATCTAATATTTTTTCTTTCAACTATTTGCAAAGTTTTGCACGTGTCTGCTAAAAACTGTTATAATGTCTAATAAATTACAGTTAAGCTGCCATAATCAACATTACATACACAATAAAGGTACGTAAATTGCAATGTGACCTATAATTAATACTTTTATTTTCACTATTTATTTATAAATACTATGGCTATCTTTCTTAATGTCATGGCCATCTTTTCCCTAAAAATCAGATAAGATGGCCAATGCATACACTGAGAGAAAAGATTTTGTTATAGGAACAAATCAAGGGAAAGCAAATGTGATATTTGTTAAAAAAACAATCGATTTGTTACGATTGCAAATTAATTCGTCAATGTAACAAATAATCAATAGTATCGCTAGCAAATAAGAGGCTCATATATATATATAAAAGTCGTAGACGGTTGCAGGGTCTCAAATCGTAAGAAATTAATTAATTCTACTCAAGTATTCTCCCTATATTTGACTGTGCTTGGTCGGTTTTCTACAACTTAAGACTCCACGATCATCTATGAATTCTATGTAAACGAGCTAAAATCTATCCAAAAGATAGGTTAGATTCTATATAGTTTGTTTCTGTTACTAATAATTAGTTGGTATAGCAGACTAGCAGCAATCACAACTAACATAATTTGTTGTTACATATTTACCGGTCACCGGTTAAAGGTACTGGTGGCTTGCTAATTTAACAAAATCCTTTCTGTCAGTGTACTTTGTAATATTTTGATAAAATTAAAGTTCTGTTAAGTATTTTCTCTTTAATTTCGATAGTATTTGTTACTTTAAGTTTCAGTGAAAGTAATATCCCAAATATTGTTAAAAAGTAACAAGAATAAATGTATGTTTTTTGCATTTTAAAAAACTATGGCTATTATACCCGAGTTTATCCTATACAAATATTACATCCCACAACTATATTGACATAATCCATAAAATGTAATATTTAATTAACACATAGAATTATGCTACGCCAATAAACGTCAGCAATTTTATAACGCGTAAATAACTGCTATACAACTTCAAATGCTATGGCAGCCTTCGCTGCAAATAGATACAAGTTGCTCCGCCCCGTTTCATCTCGCTTCAATAGCAATAGCTGCGATATCTGTGTTGAATCTCTTGTTTATCTCACGATCCAATTTATAACGCGTGCTGCGTCGACGAGGACGACTTTCCTCCTATCTCGCATCTTTCTCCCCATTAACGGGGAGTGTCGCAACTAGAGCTCCTTGCGTCGCGTTCGTAACGCGACATTATCGAATCGGGCGGTCCGAATTGAGCAACGACGGATTCCTTCCGCGGCACCGCGTGCATCCCGTGATTTGAGCGAGCGAACGGCGAGTGAAATCGAGAGGGAACGACAGGACAGTCATTATCGAAAGACGGAAAGAACAAGTAGATAATAAGAAGCGAGTCGTTGGTCTCCTCCTCGTGACCGATCTTGCGTCAACTCTACGGCAACAAACGGGACTTACGAGTCACCGTTGATAATTCGATGACTTTCACGCAGGAAGACGGAGGTTCTCTTTTTGCGTGTCTCTTGGATTGAGAATTTTTCAATTGATTTTCCTTTCGGAGAAAATTCCGAGACGATCTCATTTACGGTTACACTGGAAAAAGTCTCGTCGGAATTCTAGTAAATTAAATCAGAAAGGCACAAACTTACAGTATGCAAACACAGTTAAATCTATCAAATTCAGATAACCAGAAATTCATATTACAATAACTAGAAATCTGCTTCACACACTCTAAAAAATATCGGTGTGAATTTAACATCATGCAGTGTCTATATACAATAATTTTCAACGTGTTAATATTAACATTATGTGGTGTGGATTTAACATGGGTTTTAAATCTCTGCTGATGTTAATGTTAATTACTATTATTAAATATTAATTAAAATGTGTTAATATTAATTATTACTACTAAATATTAATTAAGACGATGTTATCATGGTTTAATATTAATATATGTATACGAACATGGTGAGAAATATGTAGATATGATGTAAAATCTTTTTTTTTTTTTTTAGTATATGATCAGAATGTTTTATGTTCAATTTCTTCACTTTCAAATAAGTCGCGGATAACCTTATCCAGAGGATATCTTCATTGTAATCTGAGAGATATTTCTTGGATAAAGTTATGTAGAGGTGAACAAATTGGACATTATTTATACTTCTGTTGGTACAGACAATTTTTCTCAGTGTAACGATAAATACAAAAAATTCATTTCTTTTTTTTCCTTTAATAGAGTTTTATACATAATTAAAGGGAAATGTCGAAGAAAATGTATAACTAAGAAGAGAGACATCGAAGATCGAATCTGCATTGCATTGACCGAAGAGACTTCGATTAAAAAGTAATATCGTACACACACATACAAAACTGGGTCACTCCGTCGTAATACAAGACAAACGCTTCTAAATGAAAAGCGACGGGAAACAGGCTTTAAAATTACTTCGGTAGGAAAACATTGTAACAGTATTTCGTGTCGCGAGAACAATTTATAGCATGCGATATTCAACCGTTATAAGCCAGTCAGGCGTATTTCAATCTTAAAGTTGGAATTATTAGCGGCGCATTGGGAAATTGCACGACGCGCGCGATTTCTGCTTACAAAATTTACTCCGCGACTTAAGAAAGATGCAGAGGCGCGTAATAACGTCTCTCATGCCTTTGTGCTCGCCGACTTATATAGCCATATTATCGGCTCGTACTTCAAACGTTTACATAGTTGTCTTAGATAAAGCGCAATGAGATTTTTCTGTCACAAAACAATGGAAAAATAAAAAGATAAAATGACTAATAATCCCACAATGCAGAAATAATGCAGATAAAATGACTAATAATCCCACAATTAAGTAATAATAACCTTTTATAGTTCTACTAATTATGAAAAAATGTATTATGAACCATAATAATTTCAAATATCAACATAGTAAAATATCAAGATTTATGTATTATAAATAAAATAAATATTTTCATATAGTAAATGCAATCGTAATTATCGTAATTTTATAATTATTTTTTGAACATTCACTTACTATTTACATGGTAACAATAAAAAATAAGAAATATAAGAAAAGAAAAATAAAGATGCAAAAGAAAATAAGAAATAAAAGAAAAATAGGGATTAATCATTTTCACGATATAATTGTATAAATATGTAGCTGCAATCAAGAATTATAGATTACAGTAATTGCAACCATTTTTTCTCAATATGCGATAAGAGGAGATATCCAGCTATGCGGCTTTTTCTCATATACAATGCGTAGCTCGGATAGAAGTGATTTCCGATGTGGAACCGTCGTCGTTCGCGATAAGAGCTCGATGCTCGATTTGACGACCGTGGTCGATACTGCATCGTGGTCAAGAATGCTCGTTAACACGTTCACTGCCACGATGGTCATTCGTAACGGATAAAATTTTTTTTAATACTCATAAAAACTAAAAAATTAATGTAATTTAATTGTATTTAACAGCGAATTTTATATGATATAAATAGTTAAATAACAATATAACGATAAAAAGTGTGCTAGTCAAACGAGATATAATTATATAACCATGTTATACAATATCTCATCATTACATGTACTTACTTTCCAAATTTTTTGGGATAAAGTCTCACTGTAAAGAGTGAAAATTGAGCTAGTCTTAAAAAAGAGTGGCACATTTTCAATCTTAAAGAGTGTAATTTCACTTTTCATAGTAACATTGACTTTATAAATTTTAGAGAGTATGATAACGAAAATTCTATTACACATAGTGAGTTATGCAAAACTCGCTGAACAATGTGTTAATATTCGCGCCAAAGATCGAACAGTAACAGTAAAAAAATCAAATAATTAACAGGGAATCGCGAAACGATTGGGAGCCATCCCGAAGCCGCGCCGCGAAGGACGTGCACCAGATCTTGCGAGAAAAACAAAATCTGCCGAGCGAAGGCCTCAACTTCATCGTCGAAGCGACA